CTCACTGGGCCAACATCCCCGCTTGAGGGGTGGATGTTGGGCCAACATCCACGCTTGAAGGGTGGATGTTGGGCCAGCATCCACGCTTGAAGGCTGGATGTTGGGCCAGCATCCACGCTCCGGCCGAGGCCACCCACATGAAGGGAAAGCAGAGACAAGCAGCCCGGGGACCCGGCCGAGGCCACCCACACGAAGGGAAATAAAGGGAGACAAGCAGAGGCAAGCAGCCCGGGGACCACCCACGTGAAGAGAAACAAGGGGCGCAAGCACGGACAAGAAACCCGGAAACCCGGCCGAGGCCATGAAGGGAGACAGGGAGACACATGGAGACATGCAAACCCAGGGACCCGGAGCATCCGGCTAGGTCGGAATTCTTAGACTGAAACAGGAGCCCCGGCAGTACACTGTTTGGGGAATCAAATCAATATTGCTTCATTGCATTTGAGGTTCTTGATGAGCGTGGCCTCATCCAGCGACAGGTCGGCGTAACGGCTGGACTGGTCCAGGGCCTTGCGGGCCGTTGCCGATTTCCTCACTGGCACGGTGGTTGGGAGGGGCGTGCTGCCATGCGAGCGGCTGGTGCGTCCAGATGCAGCAGCAGCGGCGAGAACCGCGCCACCAGCCATCATGGCTGGCAGAGATGTGGAAGCCGAGGATGCAGGCGCCTGAGCGGCATGGGCCGCACGCTGCTGGCGGAGGTTCGAAGTCGCCGGCGCAGCTGCAAAGGCCTGGCTGCCCGAGCTCAAGTATGCCAGCCCACCGGCCAAGCCGCCCAGCGCCAGGGTCGCCGACGTTCGCTGCGCCATTACAAGCAGCCAAGCTTTTCACCAAGCACAAGTACTACACTGCTTGTTGTCAGATAGCTGCAAGGGTTGCACTTGCACAACGAGCGGCTGTCATGCGATCTACCATCGACGTGGCAAGAAACTGAAAATCCGCCGAGGCCTCGGTGTAAGGGGAGCATAAACCTCTCATCCCTGCCCCCGCCGCCACGGCCCCGTGGCGCTTCTCTGGTTTGTGTGTCCGCAAGCAGAACCGCCACCCCCACCAACCCCCACACCGACCGTGTCCCTGTAAAACCCGCCCTTCAACCCTACTTTGTTTTCCGTTTTGCGGCCCAAGCCAAGGCGGGTCGCGTAGCATTTAAATGAACACACCGGTGCATGGGCAGCCCGGGCCCTAGTAGCTTGGGTTATTTGGAAGCCCCTCCACCAGCGCTCATGTTTCGTCGTCATCATCATCATCATCATCATCATCGTAACCACCATGAACATCATATCGATCATGATCAAGAAAACATGACGAGGATGACGATGACGATGAAGATGACGAGAGTTGAAGTTGATACTGATGCTGGTATTGATGCTTATGCTGATGTTGACAGTGTATACTGTGTACTGATATTGATATGGAGGAGGAGGGGGGATGCATTACCGCTCGTATTTTAAATCCAAGCTGGGATTTGTACAGCAAGAGATGCAAATCACAGAATCTGAAAGAAGTCTTGAAATGTAGCTGGCCACTGCTGGTGGTTCTGAAAAATGGCCTATATCTTGACACCGGAAGCAGGACCATTTGCGACAAACAAATGGACCGTGGTGGCATGACCATCAGGTATTCAGAATTCAGACTCGAGCTGCGGAAGAATCGGAGGCAGCCTCACGGGTTATAGACAATTGATCCATCAAGGATGCAGGGCCTCTGGCAGTCACCTGGCTCCAGTCGACTGAAGCGTTCCGGTTGAATTAATTCGCTGGAAAAATTGGACAAGAAAATGCCTTGCATGCTTACTGCTGGACGGAGAGGTTGCCGGCAGTGCTCATGGGCGTGCCGTCCACAAGGTAGCCCACGTCCTGCGCGTAGACGGAGGCAGGCAGCGGCGAACCGGGAGTGTGAAGGTCCGGCTGGATGTTCTCCGGGTGGTTGATGGCGTTGCCGGCCTTGTTGAGCGGGGTGCCATCTGGGAGGTAGCCGACATCGTTCACAAAGATGGCCGAAGGCAAGGGAGATCCCGGAGCATGGCTGTCCGGCTGAATGTTCTCCGGGTGGTTGATCGCATTCCCGGCCTTGTTCATGGGCGTGCCATCCGGCAGGTAGCCGATGTCGTTGCTGAACTCCAGGTCGGCCCAGGAGTCCTTCTGGAAGGAGTAGGCGAAGTTTCCAGCGTGCCTGACCTTGGAGGGGGTCGCTGCCGAGGAACCGACAAAGGCGGCCGCCGCAACCACGGGCGCCTGTGCAGGGGCAGCTGCGGGCGCAGCACCACCCCTCACAGAGTTGTTGCCAGCTGTCTCCATCGGAGTGCCATCCACCAGGTAGCCGATGTCAGCGGCATACGCGGACGCTGGCAGAGGAGAACCGGGCGTGTGAGCGTCCGGCTGCATGGTCTCCGGGTGGTTGATGGCGTTGCCGGCTGCATTCAGAGGAGTGCCATCGGGCAGGTAACCCACAGAGTTCACGAAGTGAGCGCGTGGCAGAGGGGAGCCCGGAGCGTGACTGTCAGGGCCGATGGTCTCCGGGTGGTTGATGGCGTTGCCTGCCCGGTTCATGGGAGTGCCATCAGGCAGGTAGCCGACGTCGTTGGTGAACTCGAGGTCGGCATAGACGTTCTCCTGCAACTCGTACGGAGTGACTGCCCGGGCGACCTGGACCGTGCGCTCTGGGGCACTGCAGCCCACGAAGGCCGCGGCAGATGCCTTCTTGGCCCAGTCGAAGCTGGCCGCCTGCACCGAGGACTCGCCCGTGTAGCCCAGCTTCTCCTTCCATCCCGGGTAGATCTGGTCGGCGTCCTTCTGGAAGGTCAGGAAGGCACCCTTGATCTCCTCGTGCGTCTTCGCGAACTCAATGACGCCGTCACTCAAGCTGATGTTGCCGTACTGGCCTGCCTTCCAGGCCTTCCAGGCCTCCTCGCCCTGGCGGCACGAGACGGCACCGGGCTTGGGGCCATCCTTGTGTCCGAAAGAGCCGCCACCGGCGGTGAGGATCACGTTGGAGTGGCCCAAGTTCTCGAAGAAGGCCGGCAAGCGGAGCGCGTTCATGCCGCCAGAGATGATGGGGGTCGTCTGCTTCATGCCTTCCCACGGCTGGTGATAGTACGGGCCATCGGCCGCATCGTCCTGCAGCATGAAGGCAATGTTCTTGTCGGAGGCATCGCCCTCCATCTTGCCGAAGCTCATGGTGCCGGTGTGGATGCCGGACGCGCCGATGACTCGGGAGATCTTGGTGTGCACGAAGGCGGTGTAACCACGCTGGGTCTGGGGGCTAGTCACGGATCCATGTCCGGCACGGTGGTAGTGCAGGAACTGTCCTGGGAAGTTGCGGCGGGCGCAGGTCACGGCCGTGCCTCCCGCAACGTATCCGTCCACCAAGAATGCGCAATTCTCGGACAAAGGACCGAACTGGGACAGACAGTACTTGCCGCGGGCGATCATCTCGTTGGGATCATCCGCCGTGATGTTGGCAGAGAACAGCTTACCCACCCCGGTCTCCTTGATGCAGGCCCTCATGGCCTTCACAACCTCTGGGATGACCTCGTTCATCTGGCAGAACACCTGGTTGCCCTGGGGCTCATCGTTCTTGATGAAGTCGCCACCCTGCCAGAACGCGTAGCAGGCCTCGCCGAATGGCTTGGGCTGCAGGCCGAGCTTGGGCTTGATGATGGTGCCCACCACGAGGCCACCGTTGCTGGTGCCCTTGCCCAGGATGCGCCACATGTCTTCCACGTTCACGGCCGGGCCGTCGTACAGGCGGAGGAACTCAGGCGGCAAGTAGAAGTCGTAGATCTTGCCGTACTCGACGTCGCCCATGCCTCATCTCAAGCTACTGCAAACACACAGCACACATCTCAACAGATTCAGACGGCATCCTAAACCGAGCGCCAAGCCCTGGTTGTTGCCGATGGATAGGGTCAGGAAGGAGCACATCATGGCGCGGCCATCGATGATGTTGCGGTCGAACAACAGATTTGGGTAGGCGATCTTCATCTCCTCGCTGTCGGGGTCGATGTAGTACACCAGAGCATCCACGGACTTGGTAAAGTCGTCCGTGGTGCACACATTCACGTTGGTGCCCGTAGAGGACTCGGCGGCAAAGTGTGCCGCGGTAGCAAGGTAGTCGTATCCTGCCTTCGGCTTCATGATGTACGCCACCAGCACGTGCTTGCCGTTCCTTATCTCGCGCTACTACCTAATTACGAAGAAACGACTTATACAAGCGCGGCCAACCCCATAAGATCCATATCGCAGCCGAGCTTCTTGATGAGCGTGGCCTCATCCAGCGACAGGTCGGCGTAACGGCTGGACTGGTCCAGGGCCTTGCGGGCCGTTGCCGATTTCCTCACTGGCACGGTGGTTGGGAGGGGCGTGCTGCCATGCGAGCGGCTGGTGCGTCCAGATGCAGCAGCAGCGGCGAGAACCGCGCCACCAGCCATCATGGCTGGCAGAGATGTGGAAGCCGAGGATGCAGGCGCCTGAGCGGCATGGGCCGCACGCTGCTGGCGGAGGTTCGAAGTCGCCGGCGCAGCTGCAAAGGCCTGGCTGCCCGAGCTCAAGTATGCCAGCCCACCGGCCAAGCCGCCCAGCGCCAGGGTCGCCGATGTGCGCTGCGCCATTGGTCCAAGAAGCTATCTCAAAGCACCCTTGTCCTCTAAATCGCACCTTGTGCAAAAGCTGCGGAGATGAATCGGGTCGTCAGAAGCCAGTTTTGGTGATCTAGTCTGACCGTTTGTCGACGCTTTCGAATCCTCTTTCGCTTCGCTGCATCTCGCTGCTTTAAATCTGACCGGCCCCGGGGGCTGGCGAAATTTCGGATTTTCGGATTTTCGGATTGCGGTGGCGTTGCTATGCGGTCCTCTGGACTGTAGCTCCACCGAAGCAGGATCACCAGGCTTTCAAGATCTTCCAATTGGCTTGAGACTACAAGTACCACATCTGATAGGAGCCTTTATGAGCCTACACATCTGCTTGGCAAATTCGAAGTGGAAAATTGGAGAAAGTGCACCATACTCACTGCTGCACAGAAAGGTTGCCAGCACTGCTCATGGGCGTGCCGTCCACAAGGTAGCCCACGTCCTGCGCGTAGACGGAGGCAGGCAGCGGCGAACCGGGAGTGTGAAGGTCCGGCTGGATGTTCTCGGGGTGGTTGATGGCGTTGCCGGCCTTGTTGAGCGGGGTGCCGTCTGGCAGGTAGCCGACGTCGTTCACGAAGATGGCCGAAGGCAAGGGAGATCCCGGAGCATGGCTGTCCGGCTGAATGTTCTCCGGGTGGTTGATCGCATTCCCGGCCTTGTTCATGGGCGTGCCGTCCGGCAGGTAGCCGATGTCGTTGCTGAACTCCAGGTCGGCCCAGGAGTCCTTCTGGAAGGAGTAGGCGAAGTTTCCAGCGTGCCTGACCTTGGAGGGGGTCGCTGCCGAGGAGCCGACAAAGGCGGCCGCCGCAACCACGGGCGCCTGTGCAGGGGCAGCTGCGGGCGCAGCACCACCCCTCACAGAGTTGTTGCCAGCTGTCTCCATCGGAGTGCCATCCACCAGGTAGCCGATGTCAGCTGCATACGCGGATGCTGGCAGAGGAGAACCGGGGGTGTGAGAGTCCGGCTGCATGGTCTCCGGGTGGTTGATGGCGTTGCCGGCTGCATTCAGAGGAGTGCCATCGGGCAGGTAACCCACAGAGTTCACGAAGTGAGCGCGTGGCAGAGGGGAGCCCGGAGCGTGACTGTCAGGGCCGATGGTCTCCGGGTGGTTGATGGCGTTGCCTGCCCGGTTCATGGGAGTGCCATCAGGCAGGTAGCCGACGTCGTTGGTGAACTCCAGGTCGGCATAGACGTTCTCCTGCAACTCGTACGGAGTGACCGCCCGGGCGACCTGGACCGTGCGCTCTGGGGCACTGCAGCCCACGAAGGCCGCGGCAGATGCCTTCTTGGCCCAGTCGAAGCTGGCCGCCTGCACCGAGGACTCGCCCGTGTAGCCCAGCTTCTCCTTCCATCCCGGGTAGATCTGGTCGGCGTCCTTCTGGAAGGTCAGGAAGGCACCCTTGATCTCCTCGTGCGTCTTCGCGAACTCAATGACGCCGTCACTCAAGCTGATGTTGCCGTACTGGCCTGCCTTCCAGGCCTTCCAGGCCTCCTCGCCCTGGCGGCACGAGACGGCACCGGGCTTGGGGCCATCCTTGTGTCCGAAAGAGCCGCCACCGGCGGTGAGGATCACGTTGGAGTGGCCCAAGTTCTCGAAGAAGGCCGGCAAGCGGAGCGCGTTCATGCCGCCAGAGATGATGGGGGTCGTCTGCTTCATGCCTTCCCACGGCTGGTGATAGTACGGGCCATCGGCCGCATCGTCCTGCAGCATGAAGGCAATGTTCTTGTCGGAGGCATCGCCCTCCATCTTGCCGAAGCTCATGGTGCCGGTGTGGATGCCGGACGCGCCGATGACTCGGGAGATCTTGGTGTGCACAAAGGCGGTGTAACCACGCTGGGTCTGGGGGCTAGTCACGGATCCATGTCCGGCACGGTGGTAGTGCAGGAACTGTCCTGGGAAGTTGCGGCGGGCGCAGGTCACGGCCGTGCCTCCCGCAACGTATCCGTCCACCAAGAATGCGCAATTCTCGGACAAAGGACCGAACTGGGACAGACAGTACTTGCCGCGGGCGATCATCTCGTTGGGATCATCCGCCGTGATGTTGGCAGAGAACAGCTTACCCACCCCGGTCTCCTTGATGCAGGCCCTCATGGCCTTCACAACCTCTGGGATGACCTCGTTCATCTGGCAGAACACCTGGTTGCCCTGGGGCTCATCGTTCTTGATGAAGTCGCCACCCTGCCAGAACGCGTAGCAGGCCTCGCCGAATGGCTTGGGCTGCAGGCCGAGCTTGGGCTTGATGATGGTGCCCACCACGAGGCCACCGTTGCTGGTGCCCTTGCCCAGGATGCGCCACATGTCTTCCACGTTCACGGCCGGGCCGTCGTACAGGCGGAGGAACTCAGGCGGCAAGTAGAAGTCGTAGATCTTGCCGTACTCGACGTCGCCCATGCCTCATCTCAAGCTACTGCAAACACACAGCACACATCTCAACAGATTCAGACGGCATCCTAACCGAGCGCCAAGCCCTGGTTGTTGCCGATGGATAGGGTCAGGAAGGAGCACATCATGGCGCGGCCATCGATGATGTTGCGGTCGAACAACAGATTTGGGTAGGCGATCTTCATCTCCTCGCTGTCGGGGTCGATGTAGTACACCAGAGCATCCACGGACTTGGTAAAGTCGTCCGTGGTGCACACATTCACGTTGGTGCCCGTAGAGGACTCGGCGGCAAAGTGTGCCGCGGTAGCAAGGTAGTCGTATCCTGCCTTCGGCTTCATGATGTACGCCACCAGCACGTGCTTGCCGTTCCTTATCTCGCGCTACTACCTAATTACGAAGAAACGACTTATACAAGCGCGGCCAACCCCATAAGATCCATATCGCAGCCGAGTTTCTTGATGAGCGTGGCCTCATCCAGCGACAGGTCGGCGTAACGGCTGGACTGGTCCAGGGCCTTGCGGGCCGTTGCCGATTTCCTCACTGGCACGGTGGTTGGGAGGGGCGTGCTGCCATGCGAGCGGCTGGTGCGTCCAGATGCAGCAGCAGCGGCGAGAACCGCGCCACCAGCCATCATGGCTGGCAGAGATGTGGAAGCCGAGGATGCAGGCGCCTGAGCGGCATGGGCCGCACGCTGCTGGCGGAGGTTCGAAGTCGCCGGCGCAGCTGCAAAGGCCTGGCTGCCCGAGCTCAAGTATGCCAGCCCACCGGCCAAGCCGCCCAGCGCCAGGGTCGCCGACGTTCGCTGCGCCATTGAGAATACAAGGGGCGAACTGTATTTCTACAAAACAGGCACACAAGCAGACCTGCGAGAAAATTTGCGATGGTCAAAATCAGAATGACAGGACGCTAGCAAGACGTCGACACCTTTACTAGCAGGCATCATCCTAACATCCAGCTGCAGTGTTGGTCCTTTGCAAGTGATTTCGACAGCCCTTTGCTCAACTCAGCGAGGTGTTCTCCATATTTCTGTATTCTCAGCTCAAAAGAAAGCAAGAAAGCAAGCGGCGAATAAAAACCCGGCTGCCAAGCTGCATTCCTAGCAGATGCACATCGCCAGCGTCACCATTGCCTTCGAACTCCGGGTTAAGAAAGGCATACTACGGTTGCCATTGGAGGCGACGACTTCAAGCAAACTTCAAGCAACTGACATTGAGGGGCACAGGCCAGAGATGGGAAGAGTGAATGAATGATTTTGTTCGAACTTGCACGGTCCCGGACATTGCTGGGCCTCGAGCTGGGAGATTGCGTCACGCCACGAAAAAACAGCTACTTTTGACGTAAATGCTTGAGCCACAATCAACGATTGGATTGGACATGACCAATGACTGTTCCATTGCATATTACAAGGGGCCAGATGGCAGTTGATAAAGTGACTAATGACACCAACATCATCCAACGAGCCTCCGCGCAGCTAAGGGTCATGTACAACCCCTTCGTGTCCCTGGTTATCAACACATCTGCTCCATGGCGGCTTCCTATCTTTTCCTATGGAGCGGGGCATTTGAAGCAGAAAAGATACCTGATGCTATCTGCGCAACGTTTGTTCGGTTTGTCCTTCGTGGTTCGTTGTGGCCCCCCTTTTTTGGGGCGCTCTGACGGAGAGATGGCGACGCTCGAAGCGGCTGCCCAGGCCCGGGCCTCGATACTAAGCCTCACGGAGATTTGCTGTGTTGCCATGTAGCTTATAAGTACCAACAGGTAACTACTAGTACTAGATTACTAGATACTACTAGCACTTGCTATGTTTTCACCCCAACTACATGAACTCCGGGCATTAGAAGCTGAAGCTTCGGGTTCCAAGCCCGCTGTGGTGATACGGGTAGCTTCTGATCTGCATTTGCAGCTCATGACCTGCGAACAGCACGATCTCTGGCCCGGAAAGCGCCAGGCCCCATGCCGGGAAAAATGGAGACGAATCGGACTTGCATACCCTTGGCATCTATGATTAGGACTCAGGACCGTCTGTAAGACATAAATGACCATTTACTTAAACTCTCGGCATGGCTCAAAGACAAACCAGGCTGGCACGGCCTGAAGAAGGCTGGCGAAGCGTGCTCAATAGGAAGCATTGATCTTTCTGACCCCGCCTAGAGCCTGGGGCCTAGGGCTAGGGCCTAGCATGCCTTGTCTATCCCCTGATGTCGACCTCTGGGACTGCGGTCAGAAATTGACCACGTCGGATTGGCGAGAACTCACCCGGTGCTGTGAGACCGTGGAATCACTCGGCGCACTTAGCGGCTGAGCCCTGCACCCAAGTTAGATGAAGGTTGCGGCTGTGTACTGTATTTCGGCAAGGTTGAGGGCTTCTGAGTCTTTGGCTCGAGCATGTGGGGATGACTCATGAACCTGACAACGCCGTGACACATGCCATTCCAGGCGACTGCCAGGCGTAACAACTACACGATGTGAAAACAGCATCGTCCCGAACAACATTCAACCCGGAGCAAGCTCGCTTCAAGACGTCAACAGCACGCCACAGCCCAGCCCTCGCACTTCAAACCTACCCCCCCAAAAACTGTCCGAAAACCCAGAAGTGCACCCTACGATGCCACACCCAAGCAAGGTCCTCAGGGCTTGGTAGAGGATCTCTCTGGCATCCTCAGAGGCATCGGCCAGGTGTGCCACACCGTCGCAGGCGACTCTTACCCTTCACGTTGGAACCCCTTAGTGTTGTGACACACATGCACACATGCACACATGCACACATGCACACATGCACACATGCACACATGCACACATGCACACATGCACACATGCGTCCTACTCTGCAAGCAGGAGGGAGAGGGAGGTCGAGAGACTCAACCAACCCACATGCCGGTCTCTTCACTTTTTTCGCTGGACACCGCCATCCAAGGGCCCCACTTGCTGATGCAGTTCGTACACCCCCAGCTGCTTCGATGGAGGTGGCACCCTGGGCTTCGCATGTTCAAGAGTTCACGCGCTTTTTCGCCCCAAAAAAAACACCTTGAAAAGCTACTTGTAACCCTCAAGGAGGGAGCCGGAGGGCGTCATCGTTGTTTTTCTCCTATCTCGATGCTCTGTGGCTTTCATGAAGGCTTAGGCCAAGCTCATGATGGACAGACCCAAATACTGCGGTCAAACATGGACGGGCCAGTCCCAACTTCTTAACAAATTACCCAAATACTAATACATCAGCTGCCGACACCGGATCCTTAAGACATCCAGGCCGGGCCTGGGCGGCTCCACGTCGGGGACGGCCTGCTCGCCCTCAGCCTGTTGGATTGTTATGGATTGTTTCGAGATCGGGAGTCAAGAGGCCACCCACGGTTCCTGAACAGCCAAGACCTTGCAAGACTTGCAGGAAGCATGCAACTTGTCACCGAAGGAATCACATCGCGGGTCGAGCACTGGTGAGTTGTTTCCCTGCGCACAATGCACTGGCGGGATCCAAGACAATGCACGCCGCCCTGTCCTGGACACTCGCAAGCTTGTCTGAGCTCGGGTAGGTCGAGGCTCAAGGCTTTCAACCCTGGAGAGACATCCGAAAACCACGGGGCCACGCCCCACGCCGCCACGCCTCTGTAGCGATGAGCAGGGAGCTGCTGCAGCGCTGCTCAAACACCACCTGCGCCGCGAAATCGGCCGCTTGTGTACCGAAACCAAATAGATAAAACCTATACCCTTGAGTCCCATGAGGACTGCACTGAGTCAACTGCAGACATCCGAGCAGAAAAGTGACACTGTAAGCATCGATGAAGGTTTTCTTTCACGCGCTCTCGGTCTTAACCGACTTCTCGTCTTTCTGCAGCGCGACTGGCGTAGTAGGAGCGTTGGCAGAGCCAGGCAGATAGGAAGGTGTGCGTGGTGGGTGGCTAAGTGCGGCTGGCGTTGTGGGAGCTCCTGGGGTTGGCGGCGGCGGCCCCCCAGGTGTGAAGGGCACGGGTGCTCCGAACTGTCCGACCGGAGTCGCCGGTTGTCCCGGAATCCCTCCCGGAGTGAAGGGGTTGATGCCGTAGCTCCCCTGCAGATTGGGCGTGAAAGCCGCAGGCCTGGGCGACACAGCTGCATTCGGAGGCTACAGGTGCTAGGCGTTCTGCTTCTTTCCTACCATAATCAGCAACTGGCCGCAAGCGTCCACACAGTCCACATGTCCGAGTCACTACACATCGCAATTATGCGCAGTAGCTGGCAAATGGCCCCAACGCCAGGGAATGAGCAGTCATGAGCAGTCTGATGGTGCGTTAACCGGCAACAACAATTTAACCCTTTTACCACCCCCCCCCCCCCATGCCCCAATGCCCCAATGCCCCAATGCCCCAATGCCCCAATGCCCCAATGCCCCAATCATCGCAGAATCAGGCTGAAAGCGGCCTCTCCCAAGCTGAAAATGCTGGGCCTCCCCGCCCTGGAGGCGTCATGGACCCCCTGACGTGCGCCCCAGCCTGTTGAATCTTGGGACTCTTCCTCATGTTCTTCTGATGATTATCATTATTTTTCCTATTCTTGTTCGGGGGATAATCGATTAATACGACTACTCTTGATATGTTTATCAGAATGCGTACTAGTCTTCTGACTCTGCTTAGCAGGATTGCTCTTGTTACTTCTGTTCCTGCTATTCGTATTACTCTTACTAGTATTGTCGTGCTTACATTCTGTCATTCTTCTGAGTTGCGTGACTCTTATCTGCGTGTGCTTCGTTGTGTGTTTCTGCATGTAATTCGTATTTTCGATCTTATGCTCATTCTCTGTTTCTTATCACAAAAGAGGCCTGAAGATTCAGGCTTGGAGTGAGCAAGGTTGGACCGCAGCAAGGTTCTTTGCAGAATCCTGATACTCCGATGCTGCACCATCTGTCCTACTGCGACTTCTTCTCATGCCTGGCCCGGCGTGGGTGGAGGTGGGCCGCCCGGAGTGCCGGAGGCGCGCACCTCGCCCCGCGACTCCCGATGTCAAGCACCAGGTTGCATCTCAAAAAGTCAGCTGTTGCTCAGTACAGTACTTGACAAAAAGAAAAAGGGGTTGGAGGTTCTAGGTTTGGGATGTTTTAGTCGGCAGAACTAACTGCAAGTGCTCAGAGTGTGCAACTCTACGATGAGGACAATAGAGACGCATGGTGCTGCGGACCTTGAAGCACGAGGCGCGTTGGGCGCATGGCAATTTGTTAGTGCACACACAGGAAACATCTTTAGAGAAAAGGAAAACCGAATAATTAGATGTTGTTCGGCGCTGCACACAACCACAAGTCCTGCAGGGATGCCCATTCTACGGCATTCACAAGCCTGGCCCGGCGTGGGTGGAGGTGGGCCGCCCGGAGTGCCGGAGGCGCGCACCTCGCTCCACAACTCCAGATGTTAAGCCCCCGGGTAGAGTCTCAAGCTCGTCTAAGCAAAAAAACATCGGCATGAATTGGGACGGGGGAGGGGGCTGCAAGATTAACATTTGGGCTTTTTGTGAGGAAACAACGCTACAGTGAGGAAGATGGAGAGGTATCTTGCCTTCCTGCATCGGAGCATCTCAATGTTCACAACCAACTGCATATTGGCACAATCAGCGTGGACTCTTGGAAACTGCTTTGCTGCGCTCTGACGTCTTTGCGGACCTCCGTCGGGGTTGGCGGAGGTGGTCCACCAGGCGTACGGGATGCGCGCACCTCGCTCCACAACTCCGAATATCTGCGAATGCTACTGCCACAAACCCGCAGCAACCTTGGACAGCTTCCCGAATATCTTTTTGCATAGGGAAAATGCGGGATTTGCAATCCCTGCAAGACTGAAGCCTGTCGGCGGTGTGCACTCCCTGAAATCCCAAAGTCGGGAAACTGCAAAAAGTGCTGAAGCGTCCCTCGCAGACTGCCCCCCAGGCTTCCCTGCTCCTGTCTGGAACAAGGGTGTGCCAGCACCTGGTAGAAGGGTAAGACTCACCCTTGCACGATCTGGGGTCAGCCGTGAAGGCAGTGGCCAAACATTGCATACACCACCATCCCAATGCTGAGCCATCCGCTGGGCATACCAGACGTCTGCCTACATCATGGGGTCTTGACATTCAGGCTTTGGGATGTTGATTGTTGGATGTTTTTGGGCCTAATGAAGTGTCACAGGGACGGGAAAGTGGACAAGCTGACAATGCTTCGAAAACCGATCCAGGAACTAAGGCACAAAACCAAGGTAGTAGTGGTAGCCGTGGTAGTCGTAGTAGTGGTAGTCTGGTAGTAGTGGTAGTAGTGGATATAATGGTAGTAGTGGTGGTGGTAGTGGCAGTGCTGGTAGTGGTAGTAGTGATAGTAGTGGTAGTAGTGCAAGTAGTGTAAGTCCTGGTAGTAGTGGTAGTAGTGGCAGTAGTGGTAGGAGTGGTAGTAGTGGTAGTAATGCTAGTAGTGGTAGAAGTGGTAGTAGTGGTAGTAGTAATGGTAGTGGTAATAGTGGTAGAAGTGTAGGAGTGGTAGTGGTAATAATGGTAGTAGTGGTAGAAGAGGTAGTAGTCGTAGTAGTGGTAGAAGTGGTAGTAGCGGTGGTAGTGGCAGAAGTGGTCGCAAAAGTGGTAGTGGTGGTCGTGGCGGTACTGGTGTGACACTAGCAGTAGTGGTAGCAGGTAGCAGTAAGACTAGCAGAAGCAGCAGCAGTAGCAATAGCGCAGTAGCAGTAGCAGCAGCAGTAGCAGTAGCGATAGCAGTGGCAGCGGTAGTGTAGTAGTAGTAGTAGTAGTCGTCGTAGTAGTAGCAGCAGTAGTAGTAGGAGTAGTAGTAGTAGTAGTAGCGGTAGTAGTAGCAGTAGTAGTAGTAGTTGTTGTTGTAGTTGTAATTGTAGTTGTAGTTGTAGTTGTAGTTGTAGTTGTAGTTGTAGTAGTTGTTGTTGTTGTTGTAGTAGAAATAGTCATAGTCGTCGTACTCGTAGTAGTCGTAGTAGTCGTAGTAGCAGTAGCAGTAGTAGTAGTAGTAGTAGTAGTAGTAGAAGTAGTAGTAGTAGTAGTAGTAGTAGTAGTAGTAATAGTAGTAGTAGTAGTATTAGCAATAGTAGTAGTAGTAGTAGTAGTAGTAGTAGTAGTAGTAGTAGTAGTAGTCGTAGTAGTAGTGGTAGTAGTATAGCAATGGTACTAGAAATCGTAATAGTAACAATAATGATAGTAATAGTAATTGTAATAGTAATACTAATACTAGTACTAATACTGATACGAATACGAATACTAGTAGTCATAGTAATCGTAATCGTAATCGTAACACTAACAGTAATAGGGAAAATACTAGAACTAGTAACAGTAACAAGAATCATAGTAATAGTGTAATAGTAATAGTAGTAGTAGCAGTAGTAGTAGTTGTAGTAGTAGAAAAATAGTAATAGTAATACTAATACTAATAATAGTAAGTGTAATCGTAAGAGTAGTAGCAATAGTAGTAGTAGTAGTAGTAGTAGTAGTAGTAGTAGTAGTAGTAGTAGTAATAGTAGTAGTAGTAGTAGTAGTAGTAGTAATAATAATAATAGTAATAGCACTAGTACTAGTGCTAGGAATAATAATAATAGCAATAATAATAATAATAATAGTAACAGCAATAGTAATAGTAATAATAGTAATCGTAATTGTAATCGTCATCGTAATCGTGATCTGAATCGTAATCGTAATCGTCATACCAATAGGTAACAATCGTAATAATAATAGTAATAGCAATAGCAATAGTCAATAGTAAAAGTAATCGCAATAGTAAGAGTAAGAGTAATCGTCGTAGTAGCAGTAGTAATAATAATGGCAGTAGTAATTGTTGTTGTTGTA